TTTAGTGCTTCTTTACTTAATTTGTCAATTATGTAAATAAAGATAGTTTTTCATTTTGGGTTCCTTGGTTAGGTGCAGTCCAACATGAATTTGGCTATCAGATTAGGCACTTCCAAGGTGAAATTGCCAGAGCAACCTTGGAATATTTTGTTAATTTATTGATATAGGCTCTAGTAAAGATTTCATAAAATTACTGGGCCTCATTAGAATTATAATATTTTTTAAATTTCTGTTATTATTTCATTTTAAAATTTTTATTCCTAGAAGAATCATGCCTCAACTGAATAAAATTTCTCTGTCTGCTCCTGAATGAGTTAACTGGATCGTGCGAAACACTTCTTTAATTTAGCTATTTCTTTGTAGTATCGGAGAGATGGTATGTGCTTAGTTTGGTCGTTGAATAACAACAGGTTATTAAATTAGCTGAAACCGGTGGCACTGTTTATTTTAGTTCAAGTCATTTCTGTATTCAGTCTTCGTACGTATGGATGAGAACTTTCCATAAAAGAGCTGTTATGAAACCGATTGTCATATTATCAGTTAGAATGCTTGCAGCTTCCGCCAAGTGTTTTTGGGTACAATCTGAGTGCTCTTTCTGTGTCACCCTTGCTTTCCACGAAAACCTCATTGATGGTATCAAATCTGTTGGAATCCTCCTTTCGCGAATTCTGGTAGTCCTTATGGAGGGTCATCACCCCAACTCTATACAGTGTGTTTTTCTTTGTCCTCATGATCTTACTCTCACCATTAAACTTCTGCTCTTTTTCACTTCTCTTTGTTCTTGAAAATTAAACTTTGGTTGTTTAATAACCAGTCCATTAACTGTACTTCGTGTATCTAAGGGTATTCTTCCTCTTGCTCAGAATTCTGCAATACACCAGAGGATTTTGATCCTAGGCTAAAGAGAAGCCTCAATATCTATAACTTATATCTCTGTTCCCTTTGTTTGCTGGCAGATATGAGATCAAGTATTACGGTGTTGACCGAACATGATCCATAGTCATCCATTTTTTTCTCAAAAACTCCCAAAATCCTATGACGATAAACCCCACACACGATCCTGAAGCTTTCCACTCTTTTATGTGTATTAGCCTGTATTTTGTGCTCTTCACAGGACTCCAGTGCTGTAAAGGGATTGTCACACAAACTAATGGATAAGCATCTACTACTATTATGTCTTGTATCCTTTCAAGAAAGATGACTTTCCATCATGGCAGGAAGCATTTGACATCTAAATAGGAAGATGAGCCACCCGTAACTTCTGAATGTTTTATGTTCCAAATTCCCTGTTATGAGGAAAACTTTCTGCCGTTATGAGAAGTCTCGGGAGCATACAAAACACTCTTGGAAGATCAAATCCTTCCTTTATTTTTCCTTGATCGTGGTCAAATATATCCTTTCAACTTTCATGTGATTCACACATCACCAAACTTATTCTTTTTACTCTTTTTTAGTGTGCAATTTAAGGTTGAATTTTTCAGACATCCTCACTCTCTCTAGTTCAAGTGGATTTTACTAATTGTAAATCAACACATCAATAAATAAGGATTCTTCAATTCTTTGATTGCTTCAACATCTAGAATTAAATTAGGTTAATAATCCCTCATCAAAAGTCGAGTCTTCTCAAATAAGTGTTTGGTGGCTTAACTATGACATTTTGTGCGTCTTCTGTTTCATACAACTATTTTTCAAAAATAAATAAATTTGGCACTCTCTCTCTCTTAATATTTCTATATGACCCATATAACGAGTTTTTGGCCGATAACTCCCAAATCGGATAATTTTAGGGCATCGGGTTGAAATACCTTAGCGGGCTTAATAACTCGAGTCATAAAGGTTACGAAAAGATGTCTTTTATATATTTTTCTACCCTGATTAGTGCAATACCCCTCATTAAACACTCATCTAATTAAATCGACCTTTAACTTAAGACTTTTGTCTAATTTTATCATATTAATCTTAGACAATCCACGCATAAATTTTCACACAAGAAATCTCAGTTTACATCCGTATCTTCCTACAACTATGAAATCATCTCCAAACTATGTTAAATGTGTTCTAAGAATCATTAATATATGATAGTTTTGAGTATAACATCTGTGTTCAATCTATCAACCTATCCAATATATGAATCAACTTATTGTATCATGATGTAAAATTCAATTTTAGTGCACATATAATATCAAGTTTTGTAGGGTTAAGCACCAATCATTCTAGCATGTAACCTATCCATCGTTCATAAATCAACATTAAATCTCAAATTTAATCATCATTGCCAGATAGGTTATCTAATCTACACAAGTACACAATCTAAAATAAGAAAATATTTATATTTATTTATATATATATATTTTTTTAATTTTTTTTCAAATTTTTCGATTTTTTTATTTTTCTATTATATACTAAAGCAATAACGAAAACACGAACATTCAAAAACACACAAAAAGTAAAAATTTAAAGTTTTTCCCACCTCAAACTTAAGGGGATGAGGAAGAAAATGAAGAATGTACTCCCCGAATTTTTACGTTAAATGTGTGAGGATCTATTTGTCAATTTAACGCAACTTGTACTTTGCTAAGCTCCTTCCAATGTTAATATTCACGGTACTTATCAAGAGGGGAAGAAAACAATCAAAAAAATAAAAAGAAAACTCATTTTGACTCAATTAATGTTTTCCTTTAACTAGGTTAAATGTTAATGATGAAGATGACCCACAAATTGAATTTAAACGTGCCTATAACTAATGCAACCTATAAATCAAAAATAAGATTACACGCAATACAATACGAAAAGCAAAATAAATAAAGTGATTAAAAAATTGGGTTGTCTCCTAACAATCGCTTAATTTATAGACTTTAGCTAGACTGTATGGATGAACTGATCATGGTGGTTCATGCTGGAGTTTTGCAGCCTTACACTCCTTGCAATTTTTAGTTTTACATCCTTTTTTTCCTTCCAAACTTTGAGCACTCTATTCTCTTCTCGAGCAAGGCTTCCTAGATGTTTATGTTTTGTCTCATTTGACATTTGTTGAACTTTTTCAACAACAGATTTGGCTTCCTTCGGACTAATGGTTGCTTGGGTAGATTATGTAATTTAAAGATCTCATGTGCTCCACCCTCACAATCAGTTCACCATTTTCCATGTCAGTCAAAGTTTGACTTGTTGCTAAAAAGTGGCAACCTAAGATAATTGACATATCGTGATCATCTTCGAGGTCCATAACAAGGAAGTCCGCGGGAAATATCAGCTTCTCAACTTCGAGGGTGCGTCCTCCAACCTCACTATTTTTTTGTTCTTTATTATTTTTTATAAACAGGAATTTAGTACATAATGGTCATCTCTTTCAAATTGTAAGGTAGATTATCAATTAAGCTACTCGAATAGGGACATTTGACAGGATTGGGTGACAGGTGCTACGCGTTAGCACATGTGTGGCTCTTTTTTTTTTTTTTAAACCATCCAATGAATATTTGATGCTTGTCATCTTTTTTTAAATTCTGTCGAATGCCCGCGTTTGTGTAGCAAGATTGTTAGATTATTCTTTTCAACTTTGCCCTAGATGTAGACCACTGTTTTCTTCATGACCCTAATTTCCATAGCTTGCCTAATTTCCATATCTTGCCTTTCTATTTTATTTTATTTTTTGGAAATTTATTACTTTCATTAGGTGAAATTTTTTGGAATGTTGTCAGAGTACGAGTATTTGCATACAAATACTGGAGTTGCTTTTGCATAAAAGAATAAAAACTCAACCGGAAACATAATTGTTTTTACCTCGGGTCCAGAGGCTACCAGGTCAATGTATCCTGCCGGTAATTTAGTACTCATTTGATTTGATTTTTGTAAAGTCAAAAGTTGGTTTTGAATATTCCAATAATTTTCTAAAAATATTTTATTTGAATAGAAGATATTTTTAGAGAAAGTTGTCTTATAGAAGCCCTATCCCTGTCGAACATACTCTTACTCTCCTTCAGTGAAAGAAATTCATCTTGGGCATATTGAGTTGGGAAGAAGAGAAGGCCAAAAACTTTGGCCTAAAATGACAAGACGAATTGCTCCAAAAGAATTAGTGACAAGCCAAATAATTTGCATCTTTTTCTTAATACTGGATAAGTATATCGTGCAAAATCTTTATATAAAAATTGTCACACTAAAAATTGTAAAATATCTTGCCTCTGCGAATTGGTACTGCAAATACAAAAAAATGTGAAAGCTACAGTTCTAGTAGGAGAAATAGTTGAAAATTACACTCAAACAACTTAGAGAAACATAGTCAGTCAGTCATCACCATCACGATAAGGAGCTAAATACCTATCGTGATATAAATGTTTTATCTTTCTTTTTATTTATGCTTTTCTGTTTCCCAACGTTGATGGCACGTTGGTACGGAGGATTGAAGAACAATATTAAGGAAAAAACTAAGCTAGAATCTCATTTAAGTTCTACCAAATACTGCGTACTTACATTTGTGTTTCCAATGCAACCCAAAGCATTTCAAAGAATCAACTTGCATTTGGATTCCAAGCTTTTCTTGAATGAATAATGTTACGTAGCACTAATACCAGTGTTTTAAACACCCGTCTATGTAGCATATAAATTGCCAAAAACACTATGCCTCTGTTTGGTTCAGCTAAAAAAGTTGATTAAAATTTAAGTACAAATCAATAATTAATTTTAATTACACATTTCATAGGATCCACAACTTTTCAACAACACATTCCATCAACTTTTATCAAATTCTACTAAAAGTCTAAACAATCATCACAATATCCGAGTAGCATGGATCCTCAAATTTTCAAAATTCAGTCCAAATTCTATTACAAGTGAAAAGAAAGCATAATTTCACCTAGTTTACAAATTAGGCCATATCTAAATAAATGCTTGTAGAAAAAGAAAATTCTTTAGAACAAAGAAAATAAATCAGCTAAATTCACACCGACAAACATCAGAGGAAAAAAAAAAAAAGTTTTACAAGACATTATATTTGTGCACTCCTGCTAAGATTCGAGCATTGCAGAAGAATTATTTGCTTTCATCGAGTTTTCGAGTGATGATTTATCTTGCAGATTCTCGATAGGGTGCATCTCTGTTTTCTTCTTCTCTTTGAGAATGACTTGCCGTGGCATCACTTCGAGTAGGAAGTTTCCTCCATTCCATATGGATGCAGAAACTTTGAGTATTTGGAAAACTACATGCAAATTGTAAGACAAGAATATGGGGACTGTAAGTGCCATAGTTGCCACCGTGAATATAGCTTGAAGCAAAATATACATAAACAAGCGATTTTGATCCCCAAGCAAACCGCTTAAACGCCACCATAAGTTATTTGCTTTCTGTGCTTTCTTTGACAATTCCCTATCATATACAAAGTTTAAAGAATGAGGTACAGACTACAGTGAGAAGAAATGAAAGAATGAGACACAATGATAATAAAATTACGAAAGAAAGAATAAGAGATGTCTGCTAAGCTTAAAAAGTTCACTTGTAAGGAGTAAATGATAATTTCAAAATAAGTAACTTTTTCTATTTAAAAGCAAGAAAAATAACTTATCCAAACGTGTTTGGAACAAAAAGTAAAATGTAAAGATCTTATTTTTAAGCTTAGCCAAAAAATGTTCTCAAGGACTCCAAGTCTACGAGTAGTGACAATAATGCAACCTTTAACCAGAAGAAAGAGAGAGTAATTATGCGACGAGGAGAAACGTGACAACCTGTAAGAAGTCATGACTTCGGGATCTCTTAGTAGTCTTTGTCGACGTAGAACATTTACAATGAGAAAATAAAGAACCTGCCAAATGCTGTAAGCAAATAAAGGAACAAAAAACAGCCACGTCCAGAGATAAGATTTGCCCTCTACATAAGGCCATGAAGCTCTCTGCGCAGTTCCTTCGGGATGCATGGCTTCTAAAAACACAGGGTCCCACCATCTGATTGTGAAATAAACTAATCCTGAAAGCCACAAATGCTGCATCAGCTGCAAGATGCTTATTTCAAGACCGACTGAAAATTTCTATGCACCATATGTTCGATAAGTCATTTCTATGAATTTAATGTACTCTATGGATAGAAAAATACACAGAGTCGAACATAGTAAAATTAGAAACTGAAAGATTTTTGTTCAAATTCTTTATTTTGAAATCTTCCAAAAATCTAATCATAGGTTCTTCTCTCCGTTGGAACAGTAGCGCGGTTATGCTCGTCACTAAACTTGTTGATTAGTTGAGGTATAACCGAGGCATATCTTTTTGGTCAGAGGTTGAATTGATGATCTCAAGAAGAATTAGACCAAAATTAGGATTCAATATACATTCTAGAAAAATAAACCTCCATCAAAGAGAAGCAAATGAAAGTCACAATGCTTAGGTCATACTGTATACAAAGAAATTCAGGACACTGCACGATACACAACGCTTTGAATTTGCGATAAAGTGATGTTGTGGCACTGAAAATGACATGAGTACTCAAATGTAAATATGACTCCAGCATCAGTCTATTTTTATGAAAAATAATAAAGTGTGCTATTATTTTAATCAACCTAAAATTCCATTGACAGACAATAATATGAAAATATTAAACTTGCATAGACCTTCCAATCAAATTTATAATGATTTTTATTATTATTATTATTAAAATGTGCAAGCCTAAAATGACAGATATATAAAATGGGAATACATCAAGAAGTTGAAAACACAGGTCAGTACAACTGTAGCTTGAGTAGTCAAGAGACGACCAAAGAAAAGTAGTAAATGTAAGATGAATGGTGAATCAAATTTTATCGTCAAATCTTAAAATAGGAAACCAAAGCTTGCTTTCAAGCTGGAACGCCTAATTGTTGTCAGCAGAACCGCTAAAATCTGAACGACAAAAGGCTTGACTTACCGGGCAAAAGATGTATGAAGACGCTTACGATTTTGTCCATAGAATTAAAAACTAAGCTACATCTCCAAACAATTAGTGCCCACGCCAATGGCCCCTGCAGTAATATTATACGATTCAGAATAAAGGAAAAGTGAACCTAAGTCGACAAGATGGGACAAATTTACCTCTCAACCAACTTATTACCTCTGCAAATGAGAAGCAAACCATGAAAAGCTTCTCATTTCTTGGATAAAACAGAAGCATGATGATGAAAATTGTGTTGGCGTAGTAGCAAAAATCCTGCATGAAACAAGAATATTAGATAATAGTTGATTACCTCTTTGATATTCCCTACAACTTCGTCTGAACAACAATTCAAAATTATTATGATCTTGAAGATTGTGAAACTTTGTTGAAGAATGGACATTGAAGGCGCTTTGCAACCAACAAAGTATGAAGATATAAATTTGTATTCCAAATGGGCATCTTGAATGTAGCCACCCAGATTATTTTTTGGTAACGCAGCTCGATAAATTATAATTTTAAAATTTCCATCCAGTTCCATATTTAAGTTCTGAAGTGAAACAACATAATTATGGAATATAACGTCCATGCTTACTAATTAACCGCCTAAACTAAGCTCCAAAATGAAGCACAAGAATTTTTAGAAATGCAGAATTTATACTTTGCCAAGAGTCTGAACTTACCAAAAGGTAGTAGTGCCATTTTTTGTATCGATAATAAATCCACCGGAGAGGAACAAAAATTACATAGATCACACAATACACATACCGTATATCATGCGGCCCTGATTGCTCAATCAACAAAAAACACCAAATTAAAATACACTCACGAATCAAAGAACGAATTCAAAATGTAATGTAAACAGATTCTTGAAGTCACCACTGTTCACTCACTTGCACCCAGAATAAAGCAGAATGCCCCAAAACCAAGAACACCCAAAAAATATGTCACCTGCAAACCACCATAAGTCCAATCAATACAACCGCAAATGAAATTTCAAACACCATATATAAATTTAATGCAGATTTAAAACAAATTATATGAAGAAACCCATTAACTCAACTAAGTAGAAAGCACCCTAATTCATGGAGAAATCTTATGTCTGCTCTTTCATGTTAACTTTTTTACACATAATACGCAAGGATTCTTGAAGTACATATACATACATATAGATTCTTGAATATATAAGATGAAGTTTGATACCTTATTGATGAATATTTCATGTTCTTCAGCCTGTTTGGCGATTTTAACTGCTTGTTTGGACAAGATCTGTTTGGTCTGAACTGCTTGTTTCGACAAAATTTCCTTGGTTTGAGCCACTTTCTGAGCAAAACCAAAACATAACCACATCAAGGAAGAAAGAAATCACCAACCCAACTCACAAAAAAATCAAATCTTTTCAATTTACATCCATGAAATCATAGTACCTGGGATCGATCTTTGAACCTTTGTTTGACCTTCCCAAATGAATCCACATTTGAATCCTCCATCTCTATATTCTCTTCGCTGCTTGACATTTTTTCTTCTCTTTCAGACTGTTTTTGTCGGAAATCTATAGAAGGTGGTGGAAATGGGATGTGTTTTGCTCAATTTATTATTACCATGCGAATGAGCGTGAGCATACATAAATATATAGAGATCTGTCAGAACGAAAATTACTAATCTTTCTGATTAGAGCCTCAATATGATTACTGTTGCCATTAAGATTCTAATTACGCTTAACGAAATCCCAAAAATATTAGGTTTTTTCATTAACAGGAAGATCCCATTTCATATCCTTACACGCTACCAGCAGGACAGTGCTACTAAGTGTACGGAATAAGGCGCTGCTAGATTATTTAGAAGGATTATTCCTCTTTACTAGAATGGGGGTACCGAATGGTGTAACTCTTCTCACAATGCGCGCAGGTCCCATGTACATTTAGAAATTTCGGCTTGTGGTCCCCACCTCCTAATATGAGTAGGGTGTAAAAGATTCAGTATAAAAATTCGATACATATAGCATAACCTTATTTACAAATCATTTGAGAAAGAGAGAAAAAAAAAATGCTATTTATCCCAAGTGGGAATGGACTCCTAGTCTATGTGGATGTAAATGATTGGTTAAATGATAGGTGAAATTAAATAAATCATTTAATTTCACCTATCATTTAATGACACATTAACGCCACATAGACTGGGGATGAATATCATTTCTCAAAAATAAATAAATAACCAACTAAGTGTTGTCACAACAACTGTAAAACATGTCATAGGATTTTCTCTGTACAACCAGCAAAATTGATATTTATGGTGTGTTTGAGTCACATTATTTTGGAAAATGTATTTTGGAATAGTAGATTGATGGAGAATGTGTGGCTGAAAATGAAGGAAAATTTATTGATGTGATGGAAAATATTATTTTATTGAAGAATATGTGGTTGAAAATGAGTAGAATAATGAAAATGTGTACCAAACATGGGCATAATACTTATGTGTGAAACAAATTTGAGGAAACAACCATTTATGGGCTACGTGTCGTTATTTGGACAAGTGGAACTGGTGAAACAACTCGATTATTATGGATGTTTTTTTCCTTGAAAGGAATTAAATATAGAAAAAAGATTTGCCTATTTGCAAGCTATTATTCTGCAAACTGTTTTCTTCTAATTTTAATGGAGTAATAGATTTTCGTTTTAAAAATGATTACACGTTTGAATTAAATTGATCAAATGGCCGTCTGTGTTTAATTTTAGGGATTTGCGAGGCATACAGTTAATCGTGTACACCCCTCACAATAGGGGGTCGACACCCAATAAGAAAATTGTGGGCCCCCTATTGTGAGGGGATTGTACACCGCGTAGCGTAACCCTTTTATTGAGTGATTCAAATATTTAAACATTGATACTTCATTTCTTTGGCGTGATCAAGCAAAAATTAATTTATGTACCCAACTTCAATAGTTATCTTCTCTTTGATGAAATATTTTCTTGATTCTTGGTTTTATCTACGAGGACCCACTTGATTAAATAGTCCTCTTATTTAGTATAAAAGACAATATAATTAAGTAGAAAATGGGTATTGCGTTCAAAAAAATAGTAAATATTATTTTCATTTAAGAAATGTATATTTGTAATTTACTCTATCAAGCAATTTCTAGAAAAATCCAGAAGTATTGTATTTGTACTTTGCTATATAAGAGATTATGTGGGGTTCGGGTAAGAAATACGACACCAAAAATTCCCACATAAATGTTTTGACCATTTGATTTTTAATAGAAAAGGGCACTTGATGCCTCAATAGTTCGTAATCAAGGTATGGTTGAAGATAAACTTTAAATGAATATAATTATGTTTGACTGGAGTCGAAAGCCATGTTACCTTTTACTAGTTCAATTTGGTTACATCCATGGAATATTTTCCGAACTTCATATTCCAACATCTCAAGGTCACTATGTTCGTATCTTTATTTTATAAGTGATCTTAGAGCCTGTTTGGTGCACATTAAAATGAGAGTGCATTTTTTTGAAATGATGTGACGGGGAATATGTGGTTGAAAATGAAGGAAAAGTTATTAATGTGATGAAAAATATTATTTTATTGAAGAATGTGTGGTTAAAAATGAGTAGAAGAATGAGAATGAAAAATATAATGTGGGTCAAACAGGGGCTTAGTCTTTAGAGAGGTCGAGTTTGTATTTTCATACATAATTGGCAAGAGGCCATGTCCAATCTAACAATCAAATGGATTTTCAAATATAAATAGCACCAACATTTTTTATTAACAAGATTGTCAACGTTGTGAGTAAACGATATTGTCATTTAGAATACGATATGATTATTCATGTTCACTTCGATTCAGTCTAACATACGTAACATGTCATTATCGTGCCATCGTTTCTATTTCCTTTTTTCAATTTTTTTTTCTTTTGAGTATGCATTTATCTCCCATTATGATGAATAAATGAACATGAACCTGGTGCATGGCATGGGAGGAATTAATTGCAGAGGGGATAAGGGTTGTTTCTAGATTCAGATTCCTCCTTTCAAGGAGGGATTTTGCATTTATGGTTATTATCCCAAATTAATAGCTCACACTTTCCAAATCATTTCATAAATAATATTATCTTCATCCCATAATCTATCTAAAATAAAGGAAAAATTATTGTCTCAAATTATATGTCACTTTTCTTATTGAAAGTATATATATTTTTAAATTTTCTAATATGTCTCTAATTAATATACTTTGTTATCAACAAATATAAATTAATCATATTTAACTAATTATTCAATGTAGGGACGTATTAAAAAAAATAAAAGAAAAATTATATTTTCAGTTAAATTAATTATATATTTTTAATTTGTATGAAAATATAAACAAAATCATCTTTATGGGATAGAGGTGGTAATGTGTAATTTCATTGAAGACATCGTTTAAGGTTCAAACCAAACTGTCGAGCCTGCAATTAGAGCAGACATTTTTTAACTTGATGTGTTATATAATTTTGCTCTCATTTGTTGCTGCATAGCATTTGTATGGTTTTTAAAAATTTTATTATACTTAGTGACCCAAATTTAGGGATGGCAATGGGGTAGGACAGCCCCGCCCCCTTCTCGCTAAGAAATTTTCCGTCCCGTTACCCGTTTAAGGCGAGGTGAGGCAGGGCGGGGTCCTTGCCCCGTTTCTACCCGTTTAATTTTTTTTTTTGATAATTTATTTTTATTGTCCATATTCATTAGATTTAGATAAATAATTTTAGTTGCTATTTTCTATTAGAACTAATGAAATTTTGTGAAAATTTTCATTTAAAGTATTGAATTCTAAAAAAAATTAAATTACGGGGCGGGGCGCCCGTTAACCGTTCCCTCCCCGAGGCAAAACTCAACACCCCGAATACCCGATTAAGCGGGTTATCCCCGCATCGTTCGAGGTGGGGCCTTGCGGTATCGGGTTTGTCGGGTTTTTTTACCGTCCCTACACACATTCAGATCATTCAAATACTATTAAGGATTTAAGTTGGGCATAGCCGCATAGGCTTTATTTTAGAAGATACTCTAACAGCAATGGTTTTTTGACCTCGAAAAGTGTAGATCAAATTCTTGGTCAGCTACTTGCTTAACCACCTCTTTAGAACTTTTTTTCGACTACCGGAGCTCCAACAAAGAGTTTTCTAGCGATGACCGCCATCGAGTAAAGTTCAAAGAAAAAATTGGTTACGGTTTCTATTATTGTTTGCCTTCTTGTGATTTTTCAGGGTACTTGAAGATTTTCCAAGTCCATGGCTTTTTTGGTCTTTGAAGCAATACTTGGACACGTCTCGCATTGTTGATAGCTACAACAAATTGTAATTATATATAGTTTTATCACACGTAATTACTACCACTGAGTTGGTTGTTACTTTCTCAAATTCTTTAAATCATATTTCAGACATGCTTATTTAACTAATTGTGCAACATGAATGTCGTGAAGTCGCTTCTCATGTTGCAACGTGATTAACCATTCTCATCAATCATCTTAAGTGATATGGTTTGATTATGAGGTTTTGATCCAAATGTACAATTTTTGCGTCGATGGGACTGAGGGTGGTTCGATGCCAAATGTTGCCTATACAAAAATTATTTCAAATTTTCTTACACTGAGATATCATATACTATTCTAAATCATATTTTGCTTAGTAGGTACGGAAATACGTGATATAGTTTACTTGATTTACCTAATTTTATTTTTTTATTATTTAAACTAAGATCACACGTGGAGATTAACATTATTTATTTTGTGAATTAATTATGGCTAAAGCTAAATTTTCGGATAAATTTAGATGTACCAAATGTTTTACAAAATGTTTTACCAACTCGCCACTTGGCGCCCCTGCCCCACCATTGGAGGGACGCCTGTCTCATTTTGCGAGTGTAGCATGGTCCTAAATTTTCAATCCACACCTGTTCAAATGCCAATGATTTGGGCCCAGGTAGCCCAGTTTTATTACTCTTCAAAAAGGAGAAATACATAATTATTGTAATTTGAAGATACACATTCAAATAATTTGAAGATACACATCCAAATTTAATAAATTCTTTAAAATCAAGTGGTCACATTTGTCATCACTTGATAAATTTTTGTGACCCATTTATTAAAATACTAGTCAAAGCCCGTGCAATGAGCGGGTTGTGATACTTTTGAAAGTTATGTTAGTGTCGAAATTAATGGATATGTTAAACTATTTAGATTGGAAGGTATTTTGGCTCCAATATATGTTTCCAATTTATTGATGCCCTGTTAAAAAGATAATGAAATTCAATCCAACTCTCTCTTTTCTACCTATTGAAGTAAGACATTATGTCTCATTCATCTCATGCTCACAGAATCTCCGATTACATGTACCAGTTGCACCAATATTTAATTTCTTTATAAAGATCCCATGCAAGATGTATGTAGTCAAGACTAATTAATTAATAATAATACAGTGCAAAATTTAGGACAAATCAAGGGTCTCATCGGTATTAAAATCACAACACAGCGAAAACTTCCATCATAGAGGCAAAAAGAATGACAAACGATCACCTAACTTCATAAATTCCGTCGAATATCCTTTCAACATATTTTAATGATACCGTACATTAAATTAATTTTAAGAAAAATCAAAATAATTCATTTAATAGAAAATGTTTGTCTACCAGTACTGTATGATGTAGAAGGATTCTTCTGAAATAATTGAGTTCTTTCAATATCCATTTTTCGTAAAAATTGAAGAAAAATGAAATTGAGAGAAATTGGTGTGAGTATGGGGATTGAGGGTGGGTAGAAAAGAAAAATTAACGATTATGATTTTACGTTTAATAATTTAAGATAAAAATTGAAGAAAAATGAAATTGAGAGAAATTAATGCGAATATAGGGGTTAAGGGTGGGTAGAAAAGAAAAATTAACGATTATGATTTTACGTTTAATAATTTAAAATAATTTGTATATTTAAACTTAATCGACAATATATTTATTATTATCATATTTTAAGTTTTTTCAAAAACAAAAATTAAATCGATTCAAATGGATATTCATATCGTGAAATATCTAATCAAACGTTGTAGGAAAAATAAAATTCGAAAAAATGATATTGGAATGGGGTTGAGATTGAAAATAAACATAAACAATCATTACTTTACGTTGCATAATTAATGTGAAATTATTTTTTATATTTAAAAGTTATCGACCATATATTTATAATAGCCGTACTTCAAGATTTCTAACAAATTTTAAATTGCTTAAAACACATATTTGTAACTTAAAATACTGAATCAGATGTAAAAAAAAATCGGCTTAATTTAAGCTAAAAACTGGGGAAAAAAAAATGAAATTGAGAGAAATTGACGTAGTATGGGTGTTGAGGGTGGGTAGAAAAAAATTAATGATTAGGATTTTACGTTGAATAATTTAAGATAATTTTTATATTTAAACTTAATCGATAATATATTTATTGTTATCACATAGTAAGTTTTTTTTTTATAAAAATTTAAATCAATCCAAATGGATATTCATATCACAAAATATCAAATCAAACGTTGTAGGAAAAATAAAGTACAAAAAAAGGACATTGGAATGAGGTTGGGATTAAAAAGAAATATAAACAATCACGACTTTACGTTTCATAATTAATGTAAAATTATTTTTTATATTTAAAATTTATCAATCATATATTTATCATGGCCGTACTTCAATATTTCTAATAAATTTTAAATCAGTTAAAACGCATATTTGTAACCTAAAATAATGAATCAAACGTTTTAAAAAGAGGCTCAGACGGCTTAGCTGAACCGAGCCGAGCCAAGCCATAAAGCCATTTGGCTCGACTCGACTCGGCTCGGCTCAGGATATGGCTTATGAACAGTAAATATTACTCACTCTTTTATATTAGTTATTACTAGTTAGATGCACGTGCAATGCACGTGCTATTAGCGTAATTGGCTACTTAATAGCATTTTTCTGAAAGCTTAATGTAAGGAACATAAACGAAACATTGGAAGATAGATTTTAGCATCCTGTAAAAGCGAAGTAGTATTGTAGTTATGTTCAGTAATGTTTGTAATCCTAGTCATATTGAAAAATTGATTTGATGTTATACTCATTGTGATTGTATTAGAAGGACGATTTGAAAATCTCGTGGAAAAGGTATTGCAATACTTTCATGTCTTATGTAAGTAGAAAATAAGTATTTACATTGTACAAATCCAATTAGTTATAACTGCTACAATGTTTGGATAGTTAAGGAAATAGTTTTCAGACAAAGACGTTATAAATCATGCCGTCATTAGTGTTGTTTAGACAAAATGAAGAGAAATACAATGCTTGATATTAACTAAACATGAAATATGAAGAGGCAATATGTAGAATTCATGTAAGTGTCCAACTACCATCGGTGGGACAGACTTTGTATATTGAGAACATTGTGATTTGATCGTTCACAAGTTCGAATACGCACGTGTCACCTATTTGAAGTTGTTTCTCCGTAACGTAAGCTGACCAGCCTATGGTGAAACGTCGTATGTCACCATTAGTTCTTAGATTTGTTCGCACTCGCCAATTGTGGTGTGAACGATCATGTATTTGTATATTCCTGACACGTTTTTGTAGATGCAATCGAGCGAAAGTCCTAGGCACATCCTATAAAATAAATTGAAGAATTTATAAATAGTGAAATTTAGCATTAGGTGAGACAATGAAATGGAGAAGCACTTTCATTCATATAAGGCAAGTAGGTAATAATCACATAATTTAGAAAAGATTTAATTTAAAGAAGAGCTTACAATTTTGCGATGACCATCTCGATTAGCTTGTAATGTTAATCGGAAAATAGGATTGCCATCAGGTGAAAAGTCATCCTCAAATGTCTCTGACTCGTAGGTTATTTCTACGCCTGAATCCTCAAAAATTGAAACATCAAAAGTGGAATTTTCGTTGTATTCAAAGACAATAGCATAGCCATCTTGTAAACTATGGTGGTCATACAAATTGCGGCCATCCACCAACAAGATATATGTTATTATGAACTCTTTCCAATTGGATGTTGCAAATAATTCCATCATAACCAATCAACGTGCTGCATCGCTAAGGCGATGCCCTGCGCGATGGACAAAAGATGCAGGAAGTGGCTGTAAAGAGAAAACAGTTTTAGTTATAACGAAAGGTTATTTAATTTATATGAAAATGTATTAGTAGTGATTAAATGTTAAGAAAGAGATCATTTTAAGACGTACCAAACGACAACTATGGCCCAATGAAGTTTTTATCATTTCAATGAAGCGGTGTGGTACATCATTTCTATTTGACATAATATTTAGAATCAAGAATAAGTGTTATTTATATAAAAACCAATAAGCAGACGTAATAGTTAACCTTATGGAGATACACAACATTATTTATCATCATGCTTAGGTCCTCATTTCCTACTCTGTGAACATAAAAATAAAACAAATATAGGAAAATGTAAGAATCAAGAATTTGGGTACTTAGGCAATAACAATGGCGTGCTTCCAATTACCAAATCTATCAAACATCAATGAAAATCTCATAAATTATTCTATATGAGCACTTGAAAGCTTTAATATGATACTAAAGTCATGAAGGCATGAGGAGCAATAGCAACAGATGTCCAAATTCGCTCACTAAATCAATTTGACGTAATTTAAAGTATGAATGAAATTAAATTTTGAAAGTACATGCTAATCCTCAAATTTTCGAGTTCTGGGCAAGCAAACACTTCCATCTATGAGAGAGGTCTTCTCTGAGGTAAGGCATGAAGAAGGTAGAATGTTGGTGATGATACGAAATATATCTCTAATGTGTACTATTGAAATTCTGCTTTAAATGCTGAAGGCAGCGCCGTGGCTAATTTTTTCCCTGAAGCTAATCCAGCTTCAAGGAAATTTTAGGATAAATGTCGGTGTCCAAATATTGGCTAAAAATTTGATCAGCCAATCAGTGATGTTAGTGTTTTATGTTAGGATTGTTTTAGATAAAATGGATAAAATGATAGCATTATAAAATTTCGAACATTTAAAGTATATAATTATTATTAATCAAACACAACTAAACTTCATATTATAATTGACACTAATCCTACAACATTCTGCATATTATAATTTTGCAAAAAACAGAAAAAGAATTTTTACCTCAGTTTTTCATCTTCGGATGTAGACGTCGACATTTTTGTAGCTTTTTAAAGTTATGTGAAACCTGAAAGGAAGCCCCACCAAAAAAGTGACAAATGAACAAATGAATGTCATAAAGTAACTAATCATTGGTAACTAATTTAACTTCACCTTTTATAAAATTGCATTAATGAAATCAAAAACATAATGAACTCTTAAAACTTAAATCAATATACAATATACCCCTTTTTTGTAACTAACATGGGGATCTTGCCACCAGGCCTTAGAGGGGATCCATCCATTATTTGGATGGACAGGTACACTGAAGGTTCCTGATGCACAGTAAAACAACAATAATATTAATAATAACAACAAACAATAACACAACAATAATGACCTCAAATCCACAATGACATCATCGAAGACAAAACAATCAAATGTGAAAACGTTCCAACAATACATGTTACTCCAAGCACTTTGAGCAAGAAGCATTACCTTCAGATATGTTACAAGTGTATCCCCCTTTTTCCTTCCAATTTATTTGTGAACGTGAATTTTCACAAAAGATGTATTCTTAATATAATGTCTAAATCATCATGGGCAACAAGGCTTTCAAATTTTCACAATTTTCTCACATTCAAGCTCTGATGCAAAACTAATTTCTAAGTTTTCCTCTCACACCCTGCTTTCTTCAAAAATTATTTACCAGCCTTTTGTAATCCCTATTTGCTGTATTTAATTGCACAAATCTTTATCTCCTTATTTTTTACAATTTCATAATTTTGGTGAAGTGCCAAGAAAACCTAAATGCTAGTTGCTCCTCTAGGATCTCTAATTAATACTGGTTTAATTTTAAGAAACAAATTTTGGTTAGACCATCATTATTATTGTGACAACACAAGGATAGTGTCTTTATTTCTTGTATTTCTATGTTTAGGTGTTCTATTTCTTCTCTCTGTATGTTTCAGGCTTTGCGAAACTTTCTTTAGGAAGTAAAAAATTATATTTCTTTTACTTTAGGTTCACAATTAGTGAGATTCATTATTATAGCTATATGGTCTTTACTAAGGTTTTTTAAAAGAAACATTGTTTTTCCTGTTGATTTTTTCTCTCTTTCCCGATATGTTTCATTTTTTTTTAAATGTAATGAACTTCAGGTTTAATGTCCATCTGTTGTATAATTTAAAATTTGTATACAAATAACATCTTGTTGCATTGAAGCATACAAATGTTCTAATCTGGCTAGCATTGAACTTGGTAAAATGAAATTGTTGAATAATATTCAGGAATACTATCAAGTCTTTAGTTGCAAAAAAAGCTTATTACATTAGCTGGGATTTGCAATAGAAGTAAAGAGTAAATTAGATTTGAAAGATGTTGAAAAATATGATAGTGGAAAGGTGAGAAATTTTAAGACTTCAATGCATTACAGGGCTTTCTTGGACATATTTTTTAGTTTATTATGTCAGACTATTAACATTGGGTCAAAGCAATTGGGTTGATTCTTAACATATAAATTCAGCAGTTATGCCACTGTTTACAATTCTAATTCAATCATCTTATTTTTATGTTACAATAAATTGGTATACCTGCTTTGATGTCTCCTTTTCAAGTGTTATGTTATGTATCTCCATTTAAAAAATATTCAATATAAATTGTTTATTGTGAATTTAATGTTGAGATTTCTAGCTTGCAGATAAAAACTGCACAAATTAAGATGACTAAAACCAGTTCAGCTAAGAAGAAGGCTAAACCAGCACACCAAGATCATGTTGAACAGGAGAAGTTCACTTCCAAACCCAAGAAAATGGGGAGTGAGATTGATGACATATTTGCTGGAAAGAAGAAGAGGAACTCTATACAAGCTAACTCAAACGAGAGGAAGAATCAACTGAGAATAACTTACAGCAGCATAATTCCCTATAGTCTTAACTCCCCCAGTACCACTAGGTGTTGCTCGATGCATTTCAGTCTGAACAATCAAATGTATTGGTGCCAAACATTCCTGGTGAAAGAGTAAACACATGGTAACTGGGAGACATCAAAAAGTATGCAGTAGAAACTTAGACAGAAATTGTAAAGGGGGTATGCTGTTGATCAAAGAAGGAATAGTTGCCAGAGAAAGTTATTTGAAAACACAAAAATGACATGAGGTCCTAGAAAACATTATCAGTTACATTTAAGAGGCCAAAATCTATATCAATGCTATTGATTTAAATCATAATAAGTTCCACTTGGTCTACCGCAGATATTAAGACAAAGTTTGATTAAGATTGGAGGGCCATACCAAACAACCTGTTCCTTGATTAAGTGCAACACCAGAACAAACAATAACTAAATAATTTTAACTCAAAAAAAGCATACAATGCTTGTGTTCTCTTTGGGTCCTTCTGTCATTTTTCATTTGCCTCTTTTAGTTCGTACTGTTAGCTGCTTCTGGCTATTTTTCTATATATTTAAGAATATGATTGCAAGATCTTCTTTTTGCTTGTTTATCAATTATACTAATTCCCATTCAATGATCAAACATCCTCAAAATCTATCATTATTGCCTCACAAACATTTTGCCATTGATGAATATTTGGGTAAACTGCCGGTGGAAAGTTTGGAAAAGCAGTTGCAAAGTTAATTGGAATTTATCAATATCGATTTTTGAGCCCTATCTTGCCAACAATTCAAATGGGAACAGCATCAAGGCTGAGCAGGCATGCGAGATACAAACTATTATACCTAGAAATAGTTTCCCACAGGCGATACATAAATCAAAAAGGTATATTTAGGTGCTGGTGCAAGTCCTAGAACAGCACCACTCCCCGTTAGCAATGGTCTAATATATAAAGAACCTTTACCTGGTGGGGGAATCTGAAATAAGATAACAACATAAAATCACTCAGTTGTCTAAACACCACTGCACAAAAATAAATAAATAAATACAATTTTAACTGAAATGATAAACTGTCAGATTACCTATCTTTCATTTGCTAAAATAGTTTCTTTTACATCTTCCACAAACCGTTCGACAGTAAAAGAAGGCATGCACATACGCTCAGCACCCACCCTTAATCGGAAAGCATTTTCCTCGGGTTCAACGAGTAAAATATTGCCATCATATTTCTGATAAGCTTTTAAACCTTCAAACAGCCCCTACAAGTTATTTTCAAAAACAAATTGATCAAAAGTGAAGTGAACATGATGCGAGTGAGTTATAAACACGCTGAAAGAACCACCGCGGTTAGACTTAATAAAAGAAAAAACTTACCTGTCCATGGTTTAAAATCACTGCAGATGGACTGAAACTCAATGTTCCCAAAACGTTGTAATTCTCCTTTAGAAAAGTTTTCACCTTGAGAACATTTCATAATATACATATAATCAGTGGGCATGAATCCAAATCCAAGATTATCTCAATCAATGCCGGCTAATTCTGGCATCACGTTGCTGCCAAAATTAAACATTACATAAACCCAGTTCTTCAACAAGAGAAATCCGAGCTCACAAATTAAACCATATTTTGGATCTCAATTAAAAAAATTCACTAACTTCGAGTCTGCGGAGGCTGATGTCAGCGGAGAGATGAATATGCGCCTATCCGAGCAGCGTGGAGAGGTTGCTCTCAATGACAGCTCCTTAGATTCAATATAAATAATGTAGAATTATTTATAATTAACCAAGCGAAGCAAGTTGTATCTAGATAAATCTAATTGCCTTCTTGTTCGCCTAAAATGAAGTTACGAAATAGTAGAAAAATAACAGCTCCTTCTATAGTAAAACTAACAAATCAATTTACTGCATATTAACTAATAAATCTCTAAAAGCTATATCCCATTTATTTTTCTTATGTAAAAACCTAACAACAATAATTCATTACAAAGATTTGAACATTCATCTACTTTAAAATCACGCCGAATCAATGGAAGGCCGTCTATCGGAAACCCCGTTATTTTGGCAACATTTTCTAGAGTGGGGGTTATTCTTTGTTCACCAAAAATAAAACACGATTGATCAATTGAATAACAATCTACTAATGCTAACAAAAAATCTATAGATGTCCTATAACCCGTAGTAATTCTACAAACTTGATCAAAACCCGAGCCTGCGAGTCGTTGTAAAACTTCGTCGACCGGTTGCCATTCCTTGAGCAATTCCAAATGTGCTCTATTCTTTATCATTTTGACAACAACAATCTGCAAAAATTAAACAAGACATAAAAATGGCAGAAAGACTTAAAACTTTAAACAAGCACACCGAAGTTAGCACACATCAAATCCTAATCCTAATTATGAAAATTCCACTAATCTAAGTTCTAAAAACAAAATGTGATATGCCAAACTACGCAGAGGTAACTCAAATGAATTGCACAGATTTCCATTTCGAATTTCAAAACCTCACTCTCACCCTCACCCCCACTCCTCACTTTTGCCGTCACTGTCTCTCTCAAGTTTCTAACCGGATCTACAGACCCTAACCCCACATTTACAGAAGTTACCAAGCAAATCCACGACATAGAGTCAAATCCTAATCTAATTTTAGTTTTGATAGTTTTCAACAAAAAACCATAATAAAAAAAAGGTCAAAAAGCTGTGGGTTGTATAAAAGGCAGCTGAATTCCGAAAGTGAGCATCTTACGTTGGGCGAAAATTTACCGTTTCGAATTCAGGCAAAGCAATGGGTCGTTGGCGTCGACCGGTGGTGCCGGTGAGTGGGGTCGGCCGATGGTGACGGTGAGTGTTGAGCTTAGGGATGTTCACGGTTGCGTGCAAAACTTGGAGTTCAACTTGGAGCTTAGGTGAGTGCGAGCTCACTGGTTTTCTTTCCACCGCCAATTGGAATTTTAGAGTTGAAAGAAACTGGAAGTCCCTAATAAATTTTAAAGTTGAACCGTGCAAATAATAATGAAACTAATAACATATAATACATATGCCCTAATGTAAGGGTCTAGTCCAGCTCCTATTATTCCACGGGGAATGTCCTTGAAGTCTAATAAATCTCTAAAAGCTATATCCCATTTATTTTTCTTATGTAAAAACCTACCCGACAACAATAATTCATTACAAAGATTTGAACATTCATCAAATCACGCCCAATCACTGGAAGGCCGTCTATCGGAAACCCCGTTATTTTGGCAACATCTTCTAGAGTGGGGGTTATTCTTTGTTCACCAAAAATAAAACACGATTGATCAATTGAATAACAATCTACTAATGCTAATAAAAAATCTATAGATGTCCTACAACCCGTATTAATTCTACAAACTTGATCAAAACCCGAGCCAGCGAGTCGTTGTAAAACTTCGTCGGCCGGTTGCCATTCCTTGAGCAATTCCAAATGTGCTCTATTCTTTATCATTTTGACAACAACAATCTGCAAAAATTAAACAAGACATAAAAATGGCAGAAAGACTTAAAACTTTAAACAAGCACACCGAAGTCAGCACACATCAAATCCTAATCCTAATTATGAAAATTCCACTAATCTAAGTTCTAAAAACAAAATGTGATATGCCAAACTACGCAGAGGTAAATCAAATGAATTGCACAGATTTCCATTTCGAATTTCAAAACCTCACTCTCACCCTCACCCCCACTCCTCACTTTTGCCCTCACTGTCTCTCTCAAGTTTCTAACCGGATCTACAGACCCTAACCCCACATTTACAGAAGTTACCAAGCAAATCCACGACATAGAGTCAAATCCTAATCTAATTTTAGTTTTGATAGTTTTCAACAAAAAACCATAATAAAAAAAAGGTCAAAAAGCTGTGGGTTGTATAAAAGGCAGCTGAATTCCGAAAGTGAGCATCTTACGTTGGGCGAAAATTTACCGTTTCGAATTCAGGCAAAGCAATGGGTCGTTGGCGTCGACCGGTGGTGCCGGTGAGTGGGGTCGGCCGATGGTGACGGTGAGTGTTGAGCTTAGGGATGTTCACGGTTGCGTGCAAAACTTGGAGTTCAACTTGGAGCTTAGGTGAGTGCGAGCTCACTGGTTTTCTTTCCACCGCCAATTGGAATTTTAGAGTTGAAAGAAACTGGAAGTCCCTAATAAATTTTAAAGTTGAACCGTGCAAATAATAATGAAACTAATAACATA